GGGGGGGGGTAAGATACACTTTAAACTAAACCTATTGTATATACCTAACCCCAAAAACCCAACCTAAACTCACAACACATCTTAGTCCTAAACCTAACCCCCCACCCAAAAATGGTGAACCACCATCTTAGAACTAATCTTTGGTCTTCAACTACTGGTACCAACAAGGTAGGTGTGTATACACCAGAAACAGTCCTAAAAAGGTAACAAATACAAGTACACACACTTCAGAGCAGGAATGAGGAGTTTGCTAAAAGAGAAGCAACACACTGTAAAATAAGACAGAAAAGAAAAATGCATTATTAGTTTGGTGTCAAGTTAAACACAAAGCACTTGAGTTTTGTAAAAAAAAAAAAAAAACCCACCAAATTTAGTTTTACTCATTACTTTCTGCTCATTACAGGAAAGTCCTCTTGATGTAATCTGTTCATGTTCCTTTTAATGCGTTCACTTAAATAACTTTAATCTCTTTAMGGTAATTTTCACATTTGCGTAGACAAGTTTTGGCATTTGGAATGTATTATGTTTTCATTTAACATTTGGAAAAAAGTTTTTTAATATTTATATTAGAGGTTTTGTGAAACCAGTTTTACTGTTCAAAATGTGGGTTTATGAGATCCGCAAATCATTTTATTTTATATTTTACACAACCTTTTCAGAATTTTGATTGTAAATATAGCACATATACATACAGTTTATACAATACAAGTTACGGAAAGTTGCAAACAAGAGAARAGTTCAAAAGTTGTTTGTAAAAGGTTTGAAAACTCCCATGCAGTGACAACATGCTTCCCCAAASCAAACTAAAACAAACAGTGGAAACGTACTGTACCTGCGTGGAAACAGTAACTCTAGACCAGCCACACTACAATATAACATTGATTGGAATAAGTTCTTCACTTTGGATAAATAACAGCTTATAAAACTATTTTCACACAGTTTAAGAATCATGAACCATGTTTTTACCATTTGAAACATGAAGAGTTCATAAGAAACAGCAGTAAGACACAGAGTTACCAGTGACATTCTTGTTAACTTGTAAAACTTTCATTTTTTAAATTGTCTGTTGCTTTTGATACTTTTGATCCATTCATGCTGATTAAATACACAAATAACTGGAATTTCTGGTGTGTATGGATTAGTTTCTTCCTTGGCACGTCTGATTTGTGGGGTGCCTCAGGGTTCTATTCTTAGACTCTTTATTTTCCTTCAATACATTCCCTTTGGACCACTTAATAYAAGGGTTCACTTGAGTGTTTTATCATTGTTATACTAAAAATATTGCAGTTATAAAATCCTTTAATACTTGTGATTGTACAAACGTTATCAGTCTACCCAAGTGATTGATAAGAATTAGCAACAGGATGTATTTGCTTTCTTTAGTTAAATCACAGTAAAACAGAAGAGGTGCCATTTGCTCCAAATCARGTTTCTAATCACATTTTTTTGTCTCTTGGTTCTTTAGCTGCTCACTTAAAAACCAACCACAAACTCAAATATATTAAATGTAAAATCTGTAGTCCAGTTCGGTTACTTTTATACACCCTCTTTTATCGGCATTAGCAATTGTAACTCATGCTTTTGTGTCGTCACATTTAGAAAATATGGCTCCCTTTTGATAATTGAGGATATGTCTAATGCAGTAATATATTACAATATTATATGTAAAATGAGTTTCCAAATCATTACTGTGCTTACAAGGTAGTAACTTAGTCTGAAACATTTAATATAGCACTTGATTAAAGCAATAAATGCAATGCTACTTTCAGTGTTCATTGATTTCTTTAATTATTATGAATGAGGTCACCCACTCTATTGCTTTTTGTCTTGGTGGACACCAAATGCTCCGTTAGTTTCACATGTAGCACAATGCAGGCACACAGCCTCCCTCTTGTTTTCATTGTCAGCGTCTCAAACAAAATGGCGCAGACTGTTATAGAGGGGAAYAGAGCAAGAGTGACTGAGGAGGGCGACGGGCTTTGCCACGAGCCTTTCGGCTTGCTCAGAAAGCAGCTTAATGTTGGATTACATAATCCCACGCTCCCCTGAACTGTTAAAGCAAGAGTTACAACTCTGTGATACAGAGATGGATGGTCTGGATGAGGAAAGGCAGCGATGTGTAATTAGACAGGAAAAAGTAAGGTAACTCAGGTGGTGGKTGATCCAGGTCAAACTGGTTTAGTCATGAGAATATTTAAGTTGATTATGAATCTTGTCTACTTTTGCCCTAACTACTTAAAGAAATAAGAATGATCAGAGATAAGTTATCTAAAATTTTCAACTCAATATTAAATAGCTTGGAGTTTGTTTTTGAATGAAAGAAAACACTTCTGAGTACTTTCTTTGGACTATGAAATTTTTAAAAATGTGGCTCTTCAAATGTGGCTGTTCCTCTAAAATTTATCTAAACTAGATTTTTCCCTAAAAAACTATGAAGCCCGTGAGGGGACATGGGAGATTTTTTTTCTTTTGCGTTCCCATGCAATAATATTGGGTTACCTCACAAAAGTAGTTTATCACTGTTGTGCCTGCCGGTTTATTAACAAACTCACCATTAGCGAGGTAGCCTACTTCTTTAATTCAGCTTCAGAATGAATATATCACACAGCCAAGCATGGAAGTGTATCAAATGCCGATATTTTAACACAGTGCAGCCACGCAACATCAATGTCAATTTCACAAAACTGTGGCGACACATCCTGTTTTGGTAACCGGATATTTCAAAATAAAAGTCTGAGCATTTGAAAAGCTTCTGTCAAACACATTGTTTAAAAACAGATGTAGTTTTTTTTTTGTTTACCTCATGTCACCGATCTTCCTGGTGATGGCGCTGCCGAGGTTACTGAAGGCAGCTGAAGTTTTCTGTCCGGCTGTGGAGAACGTCTCTGATGTCTTCTTGTATCTGAAAAACAAGCGGAAACAAATGTTTATTATTTAAAAATGAGGTTATTCAGTCTGAGTGCAGTGGAGTATGGAATCCTCAATCAAATCAACATAAAAACAAGACATTTAATTTCATCCTTTGAAAAAAAAAGAAAACTGAAATAAATTTCAATTGACATCCTGCGTTTTCATTATGTTGGTGTGTGGGTTTGTATTGACATATGGATCAGGTACAGCAGCTTTAACCAATCACAAGCCAGCATTACCCCGGAGCTCACTCTGCTGCAGCCACACTGCTTCATTATAGATGAGGATGGAGGCAGAGTGTAAAGAGATCCTCTGAATAAAGTAACTGGATAAGAAAAGAAGCCTTAAGAGACTATCTTCTATCTCTTGGTGTCTGGGTAAAAACTCAGCCCTGACCATCTAATTGGTAATTTTGATTGTTTATCTGCAGAATGAACAAATCAAGCATGTTAAAAAGTTGAAACGGTTAGAAGAAAAATAGACTCTTTCTTGACAGAGGTGTACATCAGGATGCTGGTACATTTTATTATATCATGACAGAAAAGAAACTGAGGAGTGACAAAATTGTTGGTTTATTTCAAATTATAGTTATTGTAATAAACAATTTCATACATGCATATCAAGTTTTTTTCAATACTATGCATCAATAATAGACTCGATTGGTTCTCTCCTCACCTCTGATAAGCAGAACCAAGAATTGTTGCAGAGCTTTAAATGACTTAACTGGTCACCAGTCCATGTTTCTTTAGTTATAGCATCACTCTTTGTGTCAATGGTAACCTAAACACAGGATGGTGAACCTGTAGCCCGGATGCTGCTGCTCATTCAGGTATGGGATGAAGTAAAAAGCTTACTATTTGGCACAACACAACAATCCTCTCTTGGTGTGGTCTGTTTTAGTCAACTGAATTCTTTAGTGTCTGGGTCTCTCATGTATCCATTGATTCCAACACTGGCCCACTCTGAAATTTGTACGTCGACATGTTGGGCAATTACACAATTAACCACCAAATCACAATATGATCCCTGTCAAAGTAATTAAAGAAGACATATCATGCTTTTAAATCATTCCTTTTTCACATTTAAATCACTCAGTTGGGGGTTTTATAAAGTGTAACTACAATGCTTTGGTCTGAATTCTTGGTTATCGTAGCTCCACAAGCCCCTCTTTCCCTCCTTTTCTGAGGTATGTGAGAGCAACTCGTCTTGGTGCTGTCTCTTTAAATGCAAACGAGACACTTCAAACTCTAATCCCACTCCACATCTCACTCCCAGTGATCATCGTCCACTATACCCCATTCGGCCATTTTATGTAGTTTGATAGCAGAGATGTGATAATCTAGTGATGTGGACATCGTTTATTTACAAATTAATAAAAAGATTTCACCAACAGAAGACTTGACCAACCAGCCTTACATGTTGGAGCCAGAGTCTGACCCAGAGCAGAGGTTGTAGTTGGTAAGTCCAGACCTTATTTGGCAGGTCCGTCACAAATGATTTAACTTTATAGCTCAGAAAATATAACAGAAAAAACAGAAATGGGCGTGAAAAATATCACCCAAATATGAGAATATAAAGATATCTACGCAGCACTGTGAGAGGCTCCAAGTAACAATAAATTTTATTTAATGGCTGAAAAAAATGGATTTATATCCCCTTTCAACAGTCTATGCATTTAAAAGGCATCTTCTGTGTCTGATGACCTGTGCTCATGTGTGTCTAATATTGGCTGCTCCAGCAACTGCCTGATAACACTATTGATCCACTCATAATGTCACAGTATGTCCTCAGGTGTCCATTTTAGAAGTCCCAGCTTCTTGCAGATCTAATTATTTAAACACCAATCACTACGCTGCAGATGAACCAGGTTATGTCTCAATTGGTCATTTTTCTAAGTGGTTAGCTTTTTTTAATACCCTTACATTTTAATTGTCATTTTTTACAGTGTATGTACTGAAGTAGTAGTAGGGAACAAAAGTGAAGTAGCAAATGCAAAATAACACAAATAAAATATTGATCCTGTTGTAGGAACCTGACATTTCAGTTTTAGTGACTGCATAGAACATAGCTGCTAATTGTGTTCTGAGGTCAGTGACTGCCTTAGGTGATGTGATTTTAAATTAGTTTATGATGTCTATTTCAGTAAGCACATGGACAAATAACTGGTGAGGTTTGTGCTGTTTAATTGGTTTTATGGAGATCAGCATAACACGCTCACTTTTCATGTTCATGCTTGATGTACAGAAAATAATGACCTTCTGTTTCTGTGCGAGTTTACTTTGAGTCAGTGTCCCACAAAGAGCATTTATTTTGATAGCAAACACGTTATTCAGCTGTGTGCTGCTGAAACACATAGATGAATGCAAACATTCAAACTCTAAAATATCTCACAAGCTTCAGTCAAACTTACGCCATGAAGCTCTGCATGTCCTGCCAGCCTCTACTGAAGTTTGTTTTGAGCTCGCTAAACGGAGTGATGCCCAGCTTCTGTTTCAGCTCTGCGTGCTGCTTCTCTTTGGACGATAAAACCTGTTTCAAGGTGCTGATCTCCTCTTCAAGCTGAGCGGGCACACAGCAAGAAAAAGAGTTATTTAAAATAAATCTTCACACAACACATTGATGTTTAGTGTTACGGTGTCTTGTGTGCATGTTGTGCATACTTTGGCTAGCTCCTGTTGGATCTCGTCTCTCTCTTCCTCCGTCATGACGGAGTTGTTTAGGCTGACTTCTGACACCAAATCTTCATCAGCCTCTTTTAATGGCTCAGAGTCCATAAAGCCTGTTTGAAAAACATTAAAAATAAATCTAGAAATGTGCTTTAATATAATGGTGTGAAGAGAAAATGCAACACAATGTGCAAATGTCAAAAGTACACATATTTAAAGACCTGGGGTCGGATTTATAAAACTGGCGTACGCACACTTTGAGCCCAGAAACTTGCGTACGCCACTTTTCACACCAAGGTTGTGATTTATAAAATCCAAACTTAACGTGAAAATGTGCGGTGCCTCACGCCAGCTCTGACCCATGCGTACGCTCATTTTGGAGACGTGAAACTGCGACATAGATGGTGAAGTGAGGAATTATAGCCACACTGTGTAATGATCACTGTCAGATATTTAATTTACCTTCAGAATCAGACTTAGATTTTTATTCAACTTTATCATCAGCTTTCTTAACAGTAATATTTATGCTTCTGCTGTTGAGCCACGAGGACCTTTGAAATAAAAAACTTAAATCTTAAATAAAAGTTCCCGTGTGCAACTCCCTTCATCTGCTTCCTCCTCAGACGACCCTGACCCACAGACCCCTCCCTGACAAGAGACATTTCAAC